CCCAGCTGGGTCGCTCTGCAATAAAAAACACACATTTGTTAAAGAAGTTGGATCATATATGTACAAGAGTAGAATGCAATAGATTAGTTCTTAGTGTTAACTACATAATAACAACGCATTCCTTCATAACTATATTTTTTAAAACACAAATAAAGAAAGCGCTTGATCACGATTCCACCTAAGCTAAGTGAAGACGCGCTCTTGAAGGCACTCACGTCATAACTTGGGAACACTGGCAACTTGTTCCATTTATTAACGCTATAGTTAATGAACTCTCGGCGAGCTCTTCAAGACGATGTCTTGTCACTGAAATAGTTACCTAGAACGTGTAATATCCGCGCATTACATCACGTTGATTGAAAAGTTGGCGCCGGGCGGCGGCGGCGAGCCAGCTCTGTCTACGTCATGGGAACATGATGCACGAATCTATGGACCTTTGCCCCTGCCATACCCCTAACTCGTAACGGTATGCGCTCGACTAATAAACCGTCTACCGCAGTAGTAATATCCACTAATCTGCTCTTGTTCTTTTAATATTGACATCTTACTAATATTACGTATGTTTGTTACTATGTGTGTCCAGAACGGATCAACGGAATTCGCTGAAATATGACATAGTTTGGAGTCGCTAGCAAAAGCTAGTATAGTAATATTCTTCAAAAGCTTGTCGAAACAAAATATTCAACAATACGATAGTAAAAGTTTTGTGAATAAAAATGTCATCGGAACGAAATCACGAAGTAATAAATAAAGTATACGTTAGGGCAGGCCTATCCCAAAAACTTGAGCTATGAAATGTCAGTCCCATATAGTCCCATGAAAAATGGTAGTGGTGGTGGCGCCGCGACGGCGGGCCGCCATCGATCGCCAAGGTTACCGTCGGTACCACGGTATATTTACACCTTACTAACTAAATGGGGTATCCGAACACTATCACAAACATTCAGATTCAAAAGGTGTATAAAAATAAGAAAACAAAACTACGGTTGTTTCCATTATTTCCAAAGATATATAGTCTTACTAAATATTAGAACAATGGTTGGCGAAATTAGGGAATTTGAAACTACAATACTGAGGTTTTTCAAATGTCGCAATATTAACTTGGTAAAGTTTTTATGAAGAAGTAGAACAAGTATTTTAATTTCACTACACATTAATTAAGTCGTAAAACAGATTTAAAGATTAGAACTTAACCTATTTTTTGCAACGATTAAATTATAATTTATGTTTATTTTATCAACCAAATGGAACGAAAACATCGCGGATTTCCAATTCAAAAATTACTTCCGAATGGAAAATTTTAAACGCCATTCAGTCACACTTTTCATTCATTTTTACATTCGTTCAGATGAATGATTTGAATCAGCAAAATGTACGGCAAGGAACATGTTAAAAACAAAGGTATCAAATTCATTTATGATGAAGAATGCAAGGAATGACCTACAAAGAATGTCTTGATCTTATCTAGGTAAATGGGCGTGTCGTTACCCGGGAGATTGCATTGTGACGTCATACCCATGCAACGATAGCTACATTTTTAACGTATCTATGAGTAATGATCGATTTTTAACGATGAACTTTGCCGCTACAACTTGTTTAGTGCAAAATACAACCTCTTTAGCTGACAAGAAAAAAAAAATACAGCCAAAGAGGTTGCATACTGGCCACCAAGAGTTTTGCACTGGTTTGCTATTAAAAAAGATAGTAAAAACAGAAGATGAAAAGGAAGTATTATATGCTGCCTTTTCCAGAAAAGATGCGATCGAATATAAGATTAAAAAAAGTTCTGTTGTAGTATAAACGTTTTTGTATTTTTGTGTACCGCGCTGTCCGTAACAAGTTAAACACAACTATACGCCAGTTTACATTAGAGACTCTTCATCCAAGGTATGCATATTATGTTCGCATGTACTCAGATAATTCCATTTTCGTTTAATACAATAAAACACTGGATAATTTAAGTTTTAAACATAGCTCGTCGTTCAATGGCCGCGCCCGCTTTAAGCATGCTGGATCGATTTTTCAAGAAAGCAAAAGGCAAACGTCCTACATGTTTGATAGAGTTTTTATGGGTGATTTATAATAAAACGAACTTAATTTATTGGACCTCAGGAATACTCCAATTACTTTTAACCCTTACAATCTAGGGCAGGACAAGATCCTTAATATAAATATATTTTGTAAACTAGACATGTTGAAAAGATTACCTGATGCAATAGCCAACTTTACGCTTATTAAAAGCTAACCTTAGCGTTCCATTGATTTATCGAACTGTACCTTGGACATGTCTACTCGTAAATATCTATGGAAATCAATGGAAAATATCGTAGTTTTGTTAATTCTAGTGCTATGCTGTGGGAGCGACGACCTATGGTAATTGGCCCACTCGAGCGTCAATTGTCCACGTTAGCGACAACAGGCTGTCATGTTGATGACTTGACAAACATCACTTGTGTAACAACATCCCTTATTGAAAGATGCCTAGAATCAGATCTCACCAAGTCAAAGTCGAATAGAAAACTCTTGATATCAAATTCCGGATAAAAACTACAATAATGGGACATAATGGGCGATGTGTGTCGACCGCCCAGGGCTTCGGATGTCCTTCCCCTTTACAGGGGCGCCACGGGAACTTCTATTCGACGTGTTTGTATTGCAGTTAGGTAGTCCTGTATATCGTCGTTGAAGTTCAAACATCACGGATGTAAAAAATAGAATCAATTCAGGAATGAGAAAAAACTCCATTTTTTTATAAAGATACTATACTGATACACTGTTTGTGTTTAATTATAGTTATATGTAAAGTAGAAGATGTGTTTTTGATAAGCTGTAACGATGTGTCTTCTGATTTTCTAGCGAATGGCATCAGAATGTCAAAAGATGTTAGAACTTCAACGACGGTATATCGCCCATTGTGCCATTAATACTAAAACCTGCCCTGATTATATCAGCAGGCATATCTCGATTTGTCTCTAAGGATATTACAAGTCTCAACACCAGGTGGGTAGTAGTAGGGAAGTATGTTACAGTTTAAAGTATGCAACTGTCAGCTATCGATCGGGATCATGATGAGCGTAGGTACTGCCGGCCGCACCGCGTCTGACACAATTACATTTATCATAGGAATTTTAAGCCGCATAATTAAATGATCCCTGTACTTCATTACAACATTCCTGTTACAAGCATTTTTATTGCTAATTAATTGTTATACGTATTAATGGTTAGAGATATTAGCGAACAAGAATTTCATTTAAAAACAGTGCTAATGTTATTGGGCTTTGTTAAACGAGTTAGGGTCTTATATTTATCAAGAGTAGGCAGTTCTAAGTGCATTTAAAATTTAATGAAATATTAAATCAACTGACCTTCGCCGTCGGTGGCGAGGGATCCCGTGGGAAGCCGCTCATGGTCCGTCCTCCTCGCATCCTCTGTGCTCTCGCCGTGCTCTGAAAACAACCTTACATTAGTCTTCAAAAATACTTATAAATTCCTTATAATTAGAAAGTAAATATAGGTTTCTGAAGTTTTCATTTTATCGTTACCTAGTGATTCATGAGTGTTAATTTGACCTAAGTTTCAACTGAGTAAAACTCAAGATACGTAGTTCGGAAACGCATATCTTGAAGTTATCGAACCAAAAACGCTAACAGATAGTTATATATAGCTGGGAAACCGGCCGTATTTAATGTTTAAACAAAATAAATCTATAATTTAAGATACTGTGGTACATTTTCGTAATAAAATATGAATGTAGTTATCAAGTTTCAAATATCTTAATACAAAATCATCGAAGCTATTCGAAAGCCATCAGAGGCGTACAATAAGTAAATACGTGTAGTGGGGATGACTGCCGGAGACCAGTAGATCAGGTCTCATATGACATCATATGGGACACCTGTGCGAACGACGGCCGGACGATATTTATTGGCGCCTCTGCGTGCCTCGTTTCATACTAGTTCATAAAACTAAACGTCTTATATATTATTTTGCATAGAACTTTGTCTATTAGTTGGAAAAATGTTTTTTGGACGGATTAATTGTACTCTACTCCTTTTTCACACTTTTTGTATAAGGCATGGATGGGAAGATAGTGATTTGGCTGAGGATGCGACTCATTTGTAGTAGAAATATTCGTTTTCTGTGCGTCCTCTCCTCTGGAGATAAAGATAGACAACGTATCTACAAATGCGGATATGTATTGGCATCAGTAGATTCGTTATTTTGGCAAAAACAGTTTATCATTTTTTAATTTAGTTATGAGATGTTATTTTTATCACTGTAAATAGTTAACTCGTATTAAATTGCAAATGGAAGGTTGTGTTTGTGAGAACTTATTTAATAATCTATAAGTAAAGTAAACTTAATATATTCCGAGTGTTGTAATGTCGTTTGTAATTTGTAAACGAGCGGCGCGGAAACGTTAGTCGTATCTACATAGATATGTGAGGTAGGTGTGTCCGTCGGTACATATTTAATGTGGACGTAGTTCGCATATGGATACATTAGCATACTGGAGATCAGATCAAGGTTACCTGCCGTCTACGTGTCCAATCATCAACAATCAATAAAATTATTTGATTTTAGATTGACACGATTGTATACTTGCAAATTAAAAACTAACATGTTAAAATACTACACTAGGCTTTATTTTATTATTATTCAAACTATCTTTACATTTTCTTCATTGATTATCGTAATACCATAGGTATCATTCAATCGAATCTGTAGTAGACGCCTAAGAAAATACAGACTCAAAACCACTTAAAACAGATGTATTTTAGTACTGGCAACATTCTTATGTTTATTAGTCTATCTGAATATGTATATAGGAAGTGAGTCTAGCATTGCGCGTCTTTGATTGTATATCTAACGAGAAGCAAGATCATTAAATTCATATACCGTATCGCAAATTATACGCAAGTGTTTTGGCGCCAACTATCAAAACGACTTCATTAAATTCGTGACAGCAACACGGCGCCTGCGCCGCCGACAGTTATGGATACGAACTATCTGCCAACTGTTGCTGTCTTACAGAAATAATACACATTCCAAGGTAAAAACTATTATAGGACTTTGTTGTGGGATAAAATTACATGACCTCACAGTCGTCGCCAGGGGGTCAGAGCAAAAACAAAGACAGTTTTTTAGTTATTTTAATGTAATTATGTGTAAGGTTTATTTATAGGTTATTGTTAGTTTTCACTATTTATGTACAACATAAAGAGAAGAAATATGTATAAATGAACGCTTGTATCTTTACGTTTGGAGAAATTAAATCTCGCAACAGTATTCGTGCATGGCAACATATCAAATGGGCGCGTTCGTTTGGGGTTGCCAACATAAACTATCGCGCACGTGGAGGCAATGTTACCATAACAAATGCATTTCACACGAGCAGTATGTTAACAACGGAAAGTGGACTAAGCAAAACATAAACATGAAGCGGCAACACTAAAACAATATCCGACTTTATGACCTTTGCAATATTACATGCGTAAAATTGTTACACGCTTTATAGAAATTAGGTCTGTAAATCTTCTGGTGTTCCAACTCATAGTGAAAGGGTGCTTCCCATTGCGTCGATTGATTGGATGGATTCAATCGGCAAAATGGTATTGAAAGAAGTTTGACTAATTTTTTTAAGAGAAGGCACAAACGATTTACGGGGACATCGAGATCATCATTAGCGACAACAGTCATCCGCAATATTATAGGAACTACAGATGCGTTCCCTTTGAGAAGGTGATACGATCGCTTCTTGGCAGACCCTAAGTGGTAGTTTGAAAATACAGCCGAAGACGAACCATTCCACAACGCAGCTGTGCAAAGCAGTTTCGCACAGCGAAAATCGCACGCATGATGTTCACCATCCATTAAGATGGTGTAGCGTTAGCGTTAAATTCTTCACTAACGTCAGCCTCGAACAATGTAATTGAAAGTTGATCGGAATTTAATACAAATGCGTTGCAGTGAAAGTCATAGTAAGAAATATGGGAAGTACGTGACGCGTGGCTACGCATGCCTGCGAGCGGGCCTAGCGGGCTGTGCGGGGCCGTGCGGAGTGCAGAGGCTCGCGCGCCTGCACCCGAATACTTGAAAGCTCAATGACACCAACGCAACACCTACTTACAACTCACGTAACGACCACGATACGACATGTATTTCATTCATTAATAAGTTGTTGTTATAACTGACGTGATCACCATGTTATTTTATTTTAGAAATAGTTATAGGTACATAATCTATCTATATATTTAAAATTGTCTAGTGTTTTGTACAATTAACACAGCATAGAAAGTGTTTTTAAACAATATTTAATAACAAAAAGTTTGAAATTATTTGTAACATACACAAATAGTTAGTAGAAATTATTTGTCGTTAAGTGTAAATGCATCTATGCAGTTGACACAGTGAAGGCGTGTTTGGTGCGGAGTGCGGGCTCACGTGTTTACAAGCGATATGAACACCGTGGCCTCTTATTTCCTTGAGCGAATCCACTCCCGTTTAGAGTTATTTATTCCATGTTACTTGTCCTACCACTACCTACTTGACCGTTAAGGTGACCAATTTAGAAAAAATCAATAATTTGCTTAAAATTCAAAGATTTATCTTCAAATCAAACTTATACAAAAGTTATTTACTGTTCGTTGTAAATGATTAACTCTAAATTAATTGAGTCAATTAATTCTCTCGCTTCATAACGAGACTGTTTCTTGACTTTTTTTCTTATAAACATTAACAGTAAATTTCCGTCCAATAAATTTCCACTATTTTGATAATAAAATAAAGTCATAAAATGTTCCGAGAAATGACCTAATCGTGATTAATCTTCCGACATATCATTGACGAGCTTTTTTATACGAACTCGGTTCTCGGTAATAATTTTATCGCAATAATTCAAAAGGTAAGCAAAGTAATTAAAATTCTCTCGAGCAACACTATAACACGACTATTTATTAATTTGATTATTCTAGGAATTGACAACTCATGTTTATTTAAAAATATGTATATCTAAAATTAAAAATAGTATCAAATTTCTAAAAAATAAAATTTTATCCTCAAGAAAAAAGCAATGCAGCTTTTTATGTGTGATAATTAGATCGCGATTGCGTTATCTTTTCATGAACTAAACAGAATCAATGTTTTGTGACTAAAGAGCAAAACTTAGCAAGAGTGCATTAACTAAATTGAATAATAAAATATCTCAATACGTAAAAACCGTAGCTACAGGTGG